GGAGTCCGGGTATGGCACTGTATGATATACACTGGACCACAAAGTCAGTTTGAACCACGAGGTTGGTTGCTTAAACCCACCAGGTGCTCCATAGAAATCCTATACAGGGTCACTTTGAGTCAGAACCAACTTGACAGCACTTAACAGCAACAACATAACAAACACAACTTTGCAACAACAGTATAAACAACCAAAAATATGTGTATGGTTACATAAATATTATTGGATGCAAATCTATAAAGGAAGGCATATGCGAGTAAATGCATGTGCACGAATAGATGGATCATACCTACATGTCTGTGTGTACTGCAGATACATCCACATATAACAAACCACATAAAAGGCCATAGCTACAGAGTCTTCTAAATATAGCCAAAAAACTCAACAGCATAGATTCATTCACTCAGTCAAAAGACTTAGAAGAACATAGTCTTGGTACACAACTTTGTCAATTGACATAGTTCACAAAGATAATGCTCTACATACTAACTGATGAATAGTGTCTGGGGTCTAAGTGTCTGGCCAACTAAGATACAACTATTGAACTCTACTCATATGGAGCAAAAGAAAATGAAGTCAAAGGATCAAAGAAGAAATAGTCCACAGGACAAACAGCCCACACAAACCACAACCTCTTCTAACCTGAGACCAGAAGAATTAGATAGTGCCCAGCTACAAGTACCAACTGCTCTGACCAGGGACACAATAGAATGACCAAGATAGATTGAAAGGAAAATGTAGAACAAACTGAAATTCTTAAAAGAGGCCAGATTTACTGAAGACTACAACAACCCCTGAAACTCTCTCTCCCTAACATACCCTTTGAACTTGGAATTGAAGTTATTTCTGCAGGACAACTTTTCAGCCAAACTGACTTATAAAATAAACAGTATCACCCATAAACAGTGTGCTCCCTTAAACAATTTATTATATGAAACCAATTGGTCAACGCTTACCCAAAGCAGATAAGGAGACAAAAGAGGTGTATGGAAACAAAACAAATCGAATGTAAATTATGAGAATGCCTAACCATTGTAAAAATTATAACCAATGGCAAAGAACAAATTGTATAAAAACTGTTAACGGGGAACCTAAATTTTCACCTGAAATACAATGAAATATTATTACAAATAAAATAAATGCCTCCTTTTTAATATGGTATGTTGTTGTTGTTAAGTGCCATTGAGTCGGTTCCAACCATAGCGACCGGTATTGGGTTTCCGAGGAGTGGCTGGTGAACTTGAACTGCCGACCTTGCCATTCAAACCATTTAGCAGTCCAGCACATTAATCCACAGCACCACACCAGGACTCCTTTTAATATGGTATAAACATGCTAAAAATTGCTACCATTCCCAACCCCACCCCTACCACTCTGGCTAGCAGTTTTCAGACACAATGACAGCTTTATCTGAGCCACTAACAGATCAACATTCTCTCAAGCTAAGATTTTTCAAGCATTCTTGAGATTTCTTAAAATGGCTTTGCCCTAGAAAAAAACTGACTGAGGTACGTATGAGCTGTTTCATTTAACTGAAGGTAGGGGAACAAAGAGAGTTGGGGGTCTGTGTAAAATTCATCCAAGAACTTAAATGTTGGAAACCCTTATACTATATAAGGTGCTCTGTGAAGTAGGAAATGGATGTGGGGGGAGGTGAATCCCCACTGCCATCAAATGGATTCTGACTCATAGTGAACTGACCGGAGTTTCAGAGGCTGTAAGTTTATGAAAGCAGACAGCCTCATCTTTCTCCCAAGGAGTGACTAGTGGTTTTGAACTTCCTGCCTTGTGGTTAACAGTCCAAATGCTTATTTGAAAGCACCAGATGGAAACTGGAGAAGGATTTGTGAAAGAGATGGATAAAAAGCAGACCTAGAAAAAATGGATAGAATTTGAACATAGGGCTGGGGAGGAGAGGAGGAAAAGAGACAATTCAGAGACAAGAAAAAAGAGGGGCAGGTAGCTGGCTTAAAAAGAGTCAGGTGCAAGGAAAAAGGCATTCCAAGAGAGACTATTTATTAAAGGAATTTAAAAAGTACAATAGAAAAAGTTGTACCTTGGGAAGAAAGCACCACATAGCTTAGCTAGGATGAAGTGAGAAGGTTAGAAAGATAAGCTGAGGTCAAATCATGGTATGAAAAATGGCAACTCAAATACAAGGTGACCAATACAATCCAGTTTATGGTATGCCTATTTTAGTTCAGTGTCAGTCCACATGCCCCATTCTGGACACTACGTTTAGGAACAAGCTTTCATTGAGGGTTTTACATCACAGAACACAGAAGTAAAAGACGGTGTAAAACATAATGCATACCTATCCCAGGATCGGGCAGTGTTTCGTTCTGCTGTGCATGGGGTCGCTATGAGTCGGTAATGACTCGATAGCACCTAACAACAACATTGTTGTCCTGACCCATAGTGACTCTATAGGGTTTCTGAGGAGAGACTGGTGAGCTTGAACCAAGCTTGTGGTTCAAACTGACTTTTCAGTTCAGCACATTAACCCACACCACACCAGGAGTCCAAGGCATACATATATATATGGCATATTTCTGTCTTGGTTGATCAGCATTTATTGTAAGTTAACAGCCTTTTATTGAGTACCTACCCATCATATCCTATGTATACAGGCAGAGATGTCTCAGATATGGCTCCTGTGCCAAAGAATAAGTAAATATCCTCATGCAACTTGGAGTCTGAGCCTGATGGAGAACAACAACAAAAGAGAGTTTTACAATGTGTACCAAAGTGATTGATATTCCAGCTCTTCCAGACTACATGAGCTTGACATGTATCTGAACCATATTTCTGAGGATCCGTTGAGATAAATTATTGAACACTATGTATGGTTCAAATTTAAGTGTTCAATATATAAAAAATTCCTTTCTCTAAAAATTATGCATGCATCTTTACCAGGATGGTTTATTTAGTAGCTGGATGGTACTTCTTAGGGTTTGTTTTCCTTTCAAAATTATAAGCTGTACTGTTACTTTTTTTTTTCCCCAATGCTTAGTAAAATGATTGCTCAGGGCCACATTAACTGTTGAAACTGAGAATATAAGTGTCATTCTCAATTGACTGAACCTGGTCTTCCTTGACAGAAAAGAACAATATAGTTCTCACAAGCATTTAATGAAATGACATAGGTAGAAGATTATAAGACCATGCAAACTATGGAGAAGAAAACCTAAATTTAATCAGTTTGCTTAAAGCACTATCAGAAAGTTGTAGAAAGATTGAGCATCTACACAATTCCCAAAAGAAAAGGTACATTTTAAGGTTGTTTTGAGAGAAGACCATTTTCTTCTCAATTCCTTTCAGTTTCTTTCTTATCACTTCCATTTGTTCTGTTACATAGATCTTAGTGCAGTTGGTCCTTGGAGAGAACTTGACCCTTTACCATTTGAAACTCACCAAGAGCAATGATTCTAGCCAAAGTGACCCATTTAAAAAAAAATGACCCATTTCAAAACCCATGAGTTGTTATTCAAGCTGTTCTATATTTGAAAATTAGAAAGTTATTGCCTTTTCCTACAATTTCAGCATTTGAATGAGTCTTTTTTTAAAAGGTAAATTTGATCTCCAGTTTAGAGACATATAATGTGGCATTTTTACTTGAGAGGGTCATGCACTTTATTTTGGAAAGTTCTTTGCCACTCTGTGTTTTCTTTGCATGACTTCTATTCATCCTCATGTCTTACTCTGTGAGAACAGCTTCCCCTGAACATTCCTGGTCACAGCATTCATCCCATCTTAAATTTCACTGTGAGCCCCACTCCCAAAGAATGAAGAGGTAGGATTGAGACACCTTTATCTTCAGAAAGCAAAAAAACAAAAACACCTAAACCATGTGCCATGGAGTCTATCCCAATTATGGTGACCTTATGTTGCAAAGTAGCATTGCACTCCATAGGGTTTTTATGTGTGTCACCTTTTGGAAACAGACGGCCAGGTCTTTCTTCCCAGGAGCCTCTGGGAAGGTTCGAACTACCAACCTTTTGGTTAGTAGCTGGCATTTAACTGTATGTGCCACCAGGGGTTCCTCATCCTGAAGGTTCTTAATGAATACCCACAAAGTGGCTTTGGGAAAGGGTATGGGAAAGAGATCCAGGAGCAGGAGAAAGATGGATCCTATAAGTATATTTAGGTTTTGAATTTGTCTCACCTTGAAAGCAAAAAAAGTCTTTAAAAAAAAAAAAAAAAGCAGGTTTCCCCCTCTTGTGACAAAATATAAAATCTATAAATTTCTTTTGACAAAGCTAAACCTCAGCTGCTAATTACCGAAGCATCCTTTCAGAAAACTCAGGGTGGGATCATTTCTGTGTCACCATTTAATAATACAATTACCTTCAATCATTCTTTTCTGGGTCAGTTTCAGCTTCTCACATCCCTCTCCTCTCCCCCATTGGGACCAAAAAAGTTTCCCAAAATAAAGGCACAGAGGAACAAATCCAATTCTAATGGAAATACTTTCATCAGAGAATTATCCTAAATATGAGTTACAAGTCACCCCGAGCCACTGTGTGGTTACAACACTGGTTTTCTTTAGCATGATACACAACCTATGTAAGTCAACAGTGGGCAAGAAAAATAACAGAGTGTGTAGTCGGAGTCACACTAAAAGTTGCTGGTATTACCTATCTGGTGTCTGAACAGGCAATTAACTGTCATATCAGGATGCACAATAAGATTTGGCAGAGCCAAATCAAAGAAAAAGTGACAACAGCACCACCTCAACTAGGAAGAGGTCTTCATTTCCCTTCTGTTTCCCTGTTGCCCACTTCCTCTTTGCCATTTCCCCAGTCAGTAAATTTCAGAAAGCTGTTTACTGGTTCTTGCGGCTTCCTTATGTTCAACCTAAAGAAGGATTTCTGTCTGGGAATGGCAGCAAGAGTCGGGGTCCCGGCAAGAAACTGAGGCTCGCAGGACGTGCTTTTCGCTTCACCGACTCAAGCCGATCTTAGCATCGTTGCGCGGTTACCCATACACCGCCCCCCTAGAATTCCAGGCGCCCGAACAAACCTGCTTCCCCTGGGAGGCGGCTCGGCCTGGGTCAAAGCAGCCCGGCGACCGCGCCGGCAGGCCGGAGCGAACAAAGACGCTCCGGGGAGGGAACCCGGCCGCACTTTCAAGCGGCGGGCAACCTTCACCCTGCGGCGAGCAGGGTCTCAACAGCTTCCCAACGCAGGGCCTCGCGCGCTCTGGGATCTGCTCCAGCTGAGCCTCACAGACCCCAATACGCATTCCAACCTGACTTCCTGGGGCTACACCAGGGAACCGGTGCACTTTCACCCTCTCCAGACTGCTTCCCCTCCCAACCCTACAAAGATCTCGCCCGTCCAGCGCCGGCAAGCGAGGCTCACTGAGCAGCCGGCCGAGAAGGCGCGACTCTGCGACGCAGGGCGGCCCTAGCGGACAGGGGCGGGGCAGAGGCTGAGCCGCCTCGCAGCCCCTAGTGCAGGGAACGCCTAACCAAGAGCAAACTCTTTTGGGAGTCCAAACTGATTTTCTCCCAAGCGTGTTAAAAACTTCCCCAGGTAGTGATCCGGAAGAGTAGACAACATTTCCACCAACAGAAGAGATTCGGCCTGATTCAGAGTGGAAAGGGCTAGTCTTTTTGTTTGTTTGATTGTACGCTTGTTCATAGATTCCATATGAAACAACTGTTCTTAATACGCTTTTCACTTAACAGCCAATTCGTTAGAACACGCAAGTTTATCGTATACGGGAGGTAAATTTGCAGTTCTCGGATAATCGCTCTCTTTTTATTTTTATTTTTTCGTTTTAGAGCCAGATCCCTTAAGGGCAGGTGATGTTGTTTAAAGGTTTCTAGCCAGACTATTTACATCTTGAGCATCTTGGGGTAGGGCTAATGAAGGAAGGTAACAAATTTACAGCAAACTGAGACTGCACTTCTAGGATTCTGGCGTGGGGCTGTCGGATAAGCCCTGGAGTACTAACCGCAAGGTCCGCGATGCAAAGCGGCTCCTAGGAAACCCTATCCTGGGTCGCTAAGAGTCGGAACTAACTCGCGGTCACATAACAACATAACAAGGCTGAACTGAAGCGGTCCCTTTTTAAATTACAAGGTGGAATGAGGAGGAATTACCCCCCCCCCAAAAAATATTACCTCTAATTCCAGCTTCATTTCAAAGGGAGTTTAACGCAAACTCACCAAATCCAAGCCCAGCTCCTCAAACTCCAAAACCGAAGGAGGTCGCCTTTTCTCCCTGCATCGGAGCAAAGTCATTGGTTTCAAGAAATAAACTTGCCCGCTTTAAATTTTGAGAGAGGACTAGGCAGCGGGTGAGATCCCGTCTCTCTTCGTCCCCCTACCCGTCTCTGGCTGAGGGCGGGCTGGGAATCCAATGGAGGCGGGTTCAATCTGGGGTTCGGAAGCGAGAGCGAAGTTTTCCCAGCGGCCGCTAGCGCGCGAGTTGCCTGCACCTCTCAGCGTCACAGCCTGAGCTCAGCCGGCGCCTGCCCCAGTCTGTGTCCCAGTGTATTTGTGGAGGTGATGTGCCCCGCCCGAATTTGTTCTCCTCCGTGGAACGAGCTCCAGGAATGTTTCCAAACACCTCTTTAGTTAATTGAAGTCATTTACTCAGACGACCAGTTGTGAGCCAAAATGCACTTAAAGGTCCTCTTGGAAATGTTTTCCCCCATTAATGCACGCAGTTAAACAAGTTAGGAGAATATCGATTTCTATTGATGGAAATAGGTTATAAATAAATCCCTTATGTGTTTGGTTTCTTATTCCCCATACGTTGTTCTACCCCTTTCTCTTAGAGAAAAACACATTGCCCTCTATAACGGTAGTAATTTTTTAGAGGTTTTGTGATTGTACATATTCCAGAATATGAAAGAAAACAAAATCCAATATTTCAATAAAATAAAAGCTGTGGGTTTGTCACTATAAACGAATTGAGTGAAAGTAGATTACCGGAATCAGTTTGAAATTGTAAACACAGCATTGTACTTGGTATTTCAAACTAGTTTTTAGAAAATGTGTAATTGTTTCTCTTTAAGTTCTGCTGCCGATTTTCAATCATGCCTTTCTTTTTTCCCATATTACCTTTCTTCGAAGAGGTAATAACCCTACTGGAACCATGTAAGGCTATTTATTACCTCTTCAAAGAGAGAATAGTGTTCTATACACCTCAAACCAAGATGTGACTTACAAGGGAGCCACTGATGGTAACCCACAATTAGGCCGATTCATTGTTATTGTGGTGGTTGTTAGGTGCCATCAAGTCTGTAACAACTCATAGCAACCCTATGCACAACAGAACAAAACACTGCCCCATCCTGGGCCAACCTCACAATGGTTGCCACACTTGAGCCCATTGATGCTGCCACTTTGCCAATCCATCTCGCTGGGGGGTCTTCCTCTTTTTCTCTGACCCTCCACCTTACCAAACATGATATCCTTCTCCAGAGACTGCTCCCTCTTGACAATATGTCCGAAGTATGAGAGACAAAGTTTGGCCATCCTGGTTTCCAAGGGGCATTCTGGCTGCACTTCTTCCAAAACAGATCTATTTGTTCTTTTGGCAGCCCATAGCACTTTCAACATTCTCTTCCAATACCATAACTCAAAAGCATCATTTCTTCTACAGTCTTCCTTATTCACTGTCCAGCTTTCACATGTGTATGAGGTTATTGAAAATACCATGGCTTGGGTCAGGCGCACCTTAGTCCTCAAGCTGGCATCTTCGTTCTTCAACACTTTAAACGCGTCCTTTGATTTCTTGACTCCTGCTTCCATGAGTGTTGATAGTTGCTCCAAGAAGAATGAAGTCCTTGACAACTTCAATCTTTTCTCCATTGATAAGGATGTTGTTTATTGGCCCAATGTGAGGATTTTTGTTTTCTTCACATTGAGATGCAATCCATACCAAAGGCTTCATCTTTGATCTTCATCAGTAAGTATTTTAAGTCCTCTTCACTTTCAGCAAGCAAGGTTGTATCATCTGCATATAGCAAGTTGTTCATGAGTCTTCCTCCAATCCTGATGCCATGTTTTTCTTCATAGAACCCAGCTTCTCAGGTTATTTGCTCAGAATACAGGTTGAATAAGTATGGTGAAAAAACACAACCTTGTCACACACGTTTCCTAATTTTAAACCATTCAGAATTTCCATGTTCTGTTCAAACAACTGCGTCTTGGTCCATGTACTTATACTTCACAATATTGTCCATAGCTTGTCATGATCCACACAATCGAAGGCCTTTGCATAGTCAATAAAACACAGATAAACATCTATCTGGTATTCTCTGCTTTCAGCCAAGATCCATTGGACATCAGCAATGCTATCCCTCATTCCATGGCTTCTTTTGAATCCAGTTTGAACCTCTGGAAGTTCTCTGTCAATGTATGCTTGCAGCCATTTCTGTATTACCTTTAGTAAAACTTTACTTTCATGAGATATCAAAGAGATTGTCCAATGATTTCCGCATTCCTTTGGGTCACCTCTCTTTGGAATGAGCACAAATACACATCTCTTCCAATCAGTCGGTCCCAGAGAGTTGTCTTCCAAAGTTCTTGGCAGATATGAGTGAGTGCCTCCTGTGCCGCCTCACTTTCTTAAAAGATTTCAATTTTTATTCCATCAAATCCTGGTGCCTTGTTCTTTGCCAATTCCTTCAATGCACCTTGGACTTCCTCCCTGAGTATCATTGGCCCTTGAACATATGCTACCTCTTGAAACTGCTGAACATCAACTATTTTCTTATGGTACAGTGACTGTGTGTATTCCTTCCATCTTCTTTTGGTGCAAATCACACTCTTCCTGTACCTACCCAAAATATAAAGCCTAGCCATAATACCAGCTATCATATGTGTAACATCTGCAGCTGTTCTGTTATGATTATATTTATTTCAAGCCATTTGGAACTAGACCAGCATAGGTCCATGAATCAATACACATGTGTTCCACATGCACAAATAAATAGGATTGTTGTTGTTATTAAGTGACATCAAGTCAGTGCCAACTCACACCATATAGGGTTTCCAAGGAGCGGGTGGTGAATCTGAACAACTGAGCTTGCAGTACAAATCAACCTTTCAGTCTGTGCATTACACCAGGACTGTACCCACAGGAAATATAAACTGACTCAAACATTGATAAACACATATCAAAACCACATTTCCAGATAATCATACATTGAGATAAACATACCAGTCAGATAAATTATTTCAAAAGTTAATAGGGAAATTGCTGAAAGGATGAAAGACTTGGTGAGAGAAGGGGAGAAAATGTGGATGAGTGATGGGTTGGGTGGTCCAGAATGCCTGCCCTGGTGTTCCCTGCCCAATACCCACACCAATACCCACACAGGGGGGTATGCAGAGATCTGGGAGGCTCCTTTACCTGTCTGGGAGGATTTTCTAGAACAGGACAACTCTCCATCACATCCCAGAAAGAAGAGAAGAGAAGATAGATTTTAAAGTATAAAAGAAGATACTCTGGTTTATTTTTTTGCTGTTTTGCTTTGTTTTTGAATGGGGAGGAATGGTGCATGAAGATTTTGGAGTTGGTTAGGAATAAATTGATTGGAAAAGAGCGCTGGTGGTGCAATCACTCAGCTACTAACTGAAAGAACTCATCAGCAGTTCCTTCCATAGGGGGAAAGATCTGGCAATCTCCTCTTTTGAAGATTTTAGGCTAGAACCCCTATGGGACACTTCTGCTCTCATATAAGGTTGCTATGGGTCAGAATCAACTTGACGGCATACAACAAATTAGTTGAACAATGATGATGGAAAGTTGACCCATATAAAGACAGTGGACAGGTGAGTACCTGTTGGTGAGTTAAGGAAGCTAGGATTTTTAAAGAACTAGATTTGTATATAACTTTTAATTCTACCATCAGAAATTTGTCTTGCAGAGCAGTAGGGATACTATGGAAAGTACTGAAAAAATAAAACTGTAGTATCAAGCTGGTGGACTTGAAAAATGAGATTGATTGGGATTTGCACATTAGATTTAGGAAGAGTAAATGAAGAAACCTTCAGTATGGAGTGCACCTCAGTCATTGTAAAGAAAATGAAAATCCTCATATTTAGACCAACAAATAACATTAGGATTAAATTAAGAGAAGATTGAAAGTTTTGACTTCATTTTGCTTGGATCCACAATCAACATTAATGGAAGCAGCAGTCAAGAAACTAAATGATGTGCTTGATGTCCTGAGCATTCAGATACAGCCCAGGCAGTGAGTTATAATAAGAGTTTGTGTGTGGCCTGGAGCCTTAGAGATATGGGTGAATCCTTATGTGGGTGAATCCTAACATGGGTGAATCCTAACTGGCTTTCCATTGACCTTAGCTCTACTCCCTGCATAACACCTACCTCCCAGGGGACACTGGGAAATGAATACAATAATGCAAAAATGCTGA